TCCATGTAATACGATGTCGTTAAATAACGAACACTGATATTTGTATGACATGTATTTTCAGCCACAATACTTCAAAATTCAATTATATTTTATTCCCGGCTTCATATAATCTTTCTCAATTCTCATCTTGTTTTGAAGACGATATTTACCAGTATTGCACCACACATTTATGAAAAGGCGCTGTGGTATTGGTTTTTGAAATGCATTAACCTCAGGATTTTTTTTACGTTTTTTTAAAGCTGGACTGACCAATATCCAGCTCTCGTGAGTGTCACAGGTTAAGTAGTTGTGCTCAGTTAAATATACGTCAATGCATTTTATGCAATCTTTTCATTCATTAATACACAGAGTAAATAGCCTAAGACCTCACAACGAACCTCTCATTCTCTCAATTGGCTAAGCATTGTGGTCAAATTTTCAGTTGCCTCTGGCCTCACTGTCACAGTTTTCATTGTATTTTGAAACAGACCGAAAAACAAGAAGTAATCTTGCAGCACATAAATAATGAATATTCTCGATGCGGGCGAAGGCTATGGCAAAAGACACCACATTTATAAACGAAGTTCTAACCAGGACAAAAAAGTGCTCAAGATGCTACAAACCTACTTGCCGATTCGAATCGAAAAATTGGTTAATTCAAGCGCTGAGAAGCAATGCGAGTTGAAGATTCTTAGTGTCGGAGGTGGAACAGGAGATATAGATTTGAAATTTGTGGAAATTCTACTCGAGGAATTGAAGAAACACAGCTCTGATGATCAAAACACGACGATATATCTGCGAGTGGTTGAACCGAATTCATCTTCGTGCAAACAATTCAGCGACGCCGTAGAAGCGCGTCGAGATTTGCCAATCCACGTCGACATTCGAGGCCAAACTTTTGAAGAATACATTCAAAATGAGCAAAACGCAAGCACGGCATTTGACATAATACAATTTATTCATAGCATCTACTTTGTTCAAGAGGAAAAAGCGATTTCGTACTGTTTGGAAAAGCAATTGAAAGATCAGGGTTGTCTCTTTTTCGTGTTTTGCGATGAGGTTATAATAAAGCAAGTGGCACTTGAAATGGCACCAGAGAGACGACCTAACGACAAGTTGGTGAACCTCGCCGAAAAAACAGGTCCGAAATTGATTGAAATCGTTGAGAAATATGGCCGGAAGTATGAAGTATATTCACACGAACATCCAGTTGATGTGTCAGACGTCTTCGTCGGATCAGAGAATGGTGACCTGCTTCTTGACTTCATAACTCAAAAAGTCGACTTTCGCAAGAATGCCGATGCAAGTTTGGTTGATAGAGTTTTGGCAGTGATCAAAAACGCGAGCTTCGTGAAGGATGAAAAAAACTATTGCATGCAAACTGATATTCTGATGATCGTGCACTTATAGAATATTGGAATGATGATTCGCAATAAAAACGAAATATGACTAATCGATTGCACGTTATTATCTTGTTTTCACCTATATTTTGACATTTGTGTAACATGTGTTTTGCCACAATAATTCAAAATTCAATTATATATTTTGTTGCTGGCTTCATGCAATGTCGTAATGATAATATTCAGCGTACATCAAACCGGTCAAGTGATATTCGTAAAATTCCTAAAGCTTAGGTTTGGTTAATTATCATTCAGCATAGTATTATATTCGAGTCGTATAAGGAACGAATCAATTCTAAACCTGTGTGCTCTTTAAGCGAATTATTGACCGCTCGTGAGTCGTCGCCGAAATTTCGAAGCGGAATTCTACATTTCCACTTTCCCAGCAAATTAAAGACTAAAGAAAAGGCCGGAAATGTTACGTTTATTTAATAACGCTGGATTTAAAAGTGGTTAAAGCGCGAGTGTACGTTTTGTATGAAACGAACAACTTCCATATGTTTTGTGTGAGTGCGGTTTTTAAGGCCAAAGGTCACTCGGGCGCTTGCATATGAAATGTAACAATAATGAGTACATTATAACTAATAAACCTATCCGAAAATTTTTTGATGTGGGTTGTGCGTTAGGCTGAATCCGCCCCTGTTTTTTTATTATGATATTCAACATATATCTCACGCGGGCACACTATATGTGATCTATAAGCTGTGCACTTTTTAATTGGTTAAATATGTCGACGAATACTGATAGTTCTTGCTTTCATTCTGAATTTTAGTTCAGCCAAAAGCTCTGGGTACGAGGTTTTCAAAAGCTCCCGTCTGTAGCCAAAATACAGGGTGCACAAAATAACGTACAAAATGCTGGAATATTTCGAAATCGCAATTTCTACGCACGTATAGTGTTTTCAGAGGTTTTTTATACATCACGTGTGCATGGAACTGGATATGATTGTTATCAATTGTTCACGTCTGAGACAGGTTAAGTACAGCAAAAGATACTCGGTCTCGCTTTCGCAGCTTCAATTGCATTTTACAACGGACGGAAAAACAAGCAGAAATCAGTATTGCAGCACATGAATAATGAATATTCTCGATGCGGGCGAAGGCTATGCCAAAAGACACCACGTTTATAGAATAAGTTCAAACCAAGATGAAGAAGTGCTTAAGATGTTACAAACTCGTTTGATTCCGATTCAAATCGAGAAATTGATGAATTCAAGCGTTGAGAAGCAATGCGAGTTGAAGATTCTCAGTGTTGGCAGCGGAATAGGTGCCGTGGATTTGAAATTTGTGGAAATCCTACTGGAGGAATTGAAGAAACGCAGCACAGATGATCAAAACATGAAGATATATCTGCGAGTGGTTGAACCGAATTCATCTTCGTGCAAACAATTCAGCGACGCCGTAGAAGCGCGTCGAGATTTGCCAATCCACGTCGACATTCGTGAACAAAAGTTTCAAGAATACATTCAAAATTATCAAAACGCAAGCACAGCATTTGACATAATACACTTTATTCACAGCATTTACTATGTTGTAGAGGAAAAAGCGATTTGTTACTGTTTGGAAAAGCAATTGAAAGATCAGGGTTGTCTCTTTTTCGTGTATTCTGATGAGGTTATAATAAAGCAAGTACAGCAAGTCGTATACTTAAAGGCTAGGATTTCGCCCGCGGCTGATTTGTAAAAAAACAAAAAACGATATCGAAGACGCTCTTCCGCTTCAAAGTTGTAAATTCCGTTTCCGCGGAGTTATGAAGTCAAAATACTCTGAAGTCAAGATTTTTTACTCAAATTTCTTCTCGTATGCATCTATTTTTGTGATTGTAAAATTCGCCCGGGTACTCGGAAACGTGGACAAGGCATTAAACGCAAAAAACTACGGTTCTATAATAGTAAGGTATATATATTTAAAATTTATACGAGAGTGGAGCCTTTGAATCGAGTGGCGGCCGAATCACTTCCGGCTTCACTTTTGCATTCTATAGATGCGTTATCCAGTCTTATTTTTTAGATCAGTGATCACGTGTGTATGAAACTGTATATGATTGTTATCAATTGTTTACGTCTGAGACTGGTTAAGTACCGTAAAAAATACTCGTCTCGCTGTCGCAGCTTCAATTGCATTATTTTACGACAGACAGAAAAACAAGCAGAAATCAGTATTGCAACACATCAATAATGAATATTCTCGATGCGGGCGAAGGCTATGCCAAAAGACACCACGTTTATAGAATAAGTTCTAACCAAGACGAAGAAGTGCTGAAGATGTTACAAACTCGTTTGATTCCGATTCAAATCGAGACATTGATGAATTCAAGCGTTGAGAAGCAATGCGAGTTGAAGATTCTCAGTGTTGGCAGCGGAATTGGTGCCGTGGATTTGAAATTTGTAGAAATTCTACTCGAGGAATTGAAGAAACGCAGCACAGTTGATCAAAACATGAAGATATATCTGCGAGTGATTGAACCGAATTCATCTTCGTGCAAACAATTCAGCGACGCCGTAGAAGCGCGTCGAGATTTGCCAATCCACGTCGACATTCGTGAACAAAGGTTTCAAGAATACATTCAAAATGATCAAAACGCAAGCACTACATTTGACTTAATACATTTTATTCACAGCATTTACTTTGTTGTAGAGGAAAAGGCGATTTCGTACTGTTTGGAAAAGCAATTGAAAAATCAGGGTTGTCTCTTTTTCGTGTATTCTGATGAGGCGATAATAAGGCAAGTGGCACTTGAAATGGCACCAGAGAGACGACCTAATGACAAGTTGGTGAACATCGCCGAAAAAATAGGCCCGAGATTGATTAAAATCGTCGAGAAATATGGCCGGAAGTATGAAGTATATTCACACGAACATCCAATTGATGTGTCAGAAGTCTTCGTCGGGTCAGAGAATGGTGACCTGCTTCTTGACTTCATAGCTCAAAAAGTCGACTTTCGCAAGAATGCTGATGCAAGTTTGGTTGATAGAGTTCTGGCAGTGATAAAAAACGCGAGCTGCGTGAAAAATGAAAAAAACATTTTCATGCAAACTGAAATTTTGATGATCGTTCACAAATAGAATATTGGAATGATGATTGCAATACATACGAAATATGACAAACTTGCATTCTCTTGTCTTGCTTTAACCTTGTTTATCTTATATTTGTTAAAAATGTGGATCGCCAGCAGTTTTTGCCTTTTGAAACACATACAAGGTAAAGTCGTAGATGATAAAAAAATGTTGAATTTATGTCATATATGTCATTACCTTGTCATTTTGTAAGATGATTTTTAAAACATTGCCTCGTCAACCATCAGTTAATCTTATTCAGTTGACTGTTTGTAATTGAGTCTAAATGTGAGACTTGAGACACCCCTGATGTTAGTATAGTGTTTTCACTTTTCAGGGTTTTTTCTACATCACGTGTCGAGCTGCATATGGTTGTTACAATTGTTTACGTCTGAGACAGGCTAATTAGCGGTCAAAGACCGCTGTATAACTGCATCATGTTCGGAAACTTTGCTTTGCATCATATACAATGCAAAAGAACAAAACCAAATTATATAAACGGGATATGCCCCGTATATTCAAACGGATTCAAACTGAAACCAGCACCAACCACATAGCTTGAGATAGTGATAGTAATACTATGCTGAATAATAATTAACCAAAGCTGAACTTTGCGAATTTTACGTACATCACTTGACGGTTTGATGTACGCTGAATCCGCCATTTAAATAAAGGCATAAAAAATGCGTTGGCGCTCGACGACTTCACCTGTGACACACGCAACAGCTGCATGGTTATTGGTCAGTTCGGCTATAAAAAAAACGCAAAAATGTCCTGAGGTTAATTGTGTTTCAAAAGCCACAGGCCATGGCGCCTATTTTACGTCCAGTATACTATTGCCTCACTGACCAATCAACAGCTGTCGCGAGTGTCACGGATGTAGTCGTCGCGTGTCATTAAATACGTCAATGCATTTTATGAAATCTTTTCATTCATTAATATACAAAGTAAATAGCCTAAGACATCACAACGGACCTCTCATTCTCTCAATTGGCTAAGCATTGTGGTCAAATTTTCAGTTGTCTCTGGACTCACTGTCACAGCTTTCATCGTATTTTGAAACAGACCGAAAAACAAGAAGTAATCTTGCAGCACATGAATAATGAATATTCTCGATGCGGCCGCAGGCTATGCCAAAAGACACCATATTTTTAAAAGGAGTTCTAACCAAGACGAAGAAGCGCTCAAGATGTTACAAACCTACTTGCCGATTCGAATCGAAAAATTGATTAATTCAAGCGTTGAGAAGCAATGCGAATTGAAGATTCTGAGTGTTGGAGGTGGAACAGGAGAGATAGATTTGAAATTTGTGGAAATTCTACTCGAGGAATTGAAGAAACACAGCTCATATGATCAAAACATGAAGATATATCTGCGAGTGGTTGAACCGAATTCATCTTCGTGCAAACAATTCAGCGACGCCGTAGAAGCGCGCCGCAGAGATTTGCCAATCCACGTCGACATTCGAGCCCAAACTTTTGAAGAATATATTCAAAATGAGCAGAACGCAAGCACGGCATTTGACATAATACACTTTATTCACAGCGTTTACTTCTTTGAAGAGGAAAAAGTGATTTCGTACTGTTTGAAACAGAAATTGAAAGATCGGGGTTGTCTCTTTTTTCTGTTTTCTGATGAGGGATTACTAAAGCAAGTATCGCTTGAAATTGCAGAAAGACGACCTAATAACGAGTTGATAAACCTCGTTGAGAAAAACGGCCCCAAATTGATTGAAAGCGTTGAGAAACGTGGCTGGAAGTATGAAGTACACTCACATCAATACCCTATTGATGTGTCTGAAATCTTGGTCGGATCAGAGAGTGGTGACCTGCTTCTTGACTTCATAACCCATGAAGTCGACTTTCGTAAGAACGCCGACGCAAGTTTGGTTGATAGAGTTCTGGCAGTGATCAAAAACACGAGCTTCACGAAGGATGGAAAATATCTTTGCATGAAAACTGACACTCTGTTGGTCGTGCACAAATAGAATATCGGAATGATGATTTGCAATATAAAGGAAATATGACGAACTTGCATGTTATTATATTGTTTAACCTATATTTTGAATTTTAACTGAGATGTTAACGTTTAGATTATGTTGTCCACGTTGTATGTTCTGCAAAGTGAAGAATCAGAGGTATGGGAGCCCACGGGCTGCTGCCATTGGATCTTTTGCAGATATCTGAAATATGATGTCTTTAAATAACGAGCACTGAGATTTGTGTAACATGTGTTTTGCCTTAATATATTAAACTTCAATTACATTTTGTTGCTGGCTTTTTCATGTATGATATTAAACATATATCTCACGCGGGCATACTATATGTGATCTGTGAGCTGAGCACTTTTTAATTGGTGAAATATGTCGACGAACATTGATAGTTTTCGCTTTCATTCTGAATTTTAGTTAAGCTAAAAGCTCTGGGTACGAGGTTCTTAAAGCTCCCGTCTGTAGCCAAAATACAGGGTGTATAAAATAACGTACAAACCATAATTAACTCAATTTATGCTTGAATATTTCGGAATCGCACTTTCTACGCACGCTGAACTCGCATGCTGACATCCAAAAATCATGAATGGTATTCAGCTAATCATTGTACACAATATGTGATTTGTGAGCTGAGCACTTTTTTAATTAGTTAAACATGTCGACAAATACTGATAGTCTTGCTTTCATTTTGAATTCGGTTCGGCCGAAGCGGAGAGCTCTTGTTTGTGACCAAAATTGAAAACATTGGGATTTGAATAGTAATTCACAGTAATAATTTATTTGTGCGAATATAAACTTAATCCTTTATATGTGAAGGTTGCTTTGTGTAGACGCGAATTCAGCTGAAGTTGTGAATTCAGCCAATTTTAGTGGAGCAAAGGGTACGCCACTAAGGCTAATATCGTAGGAACCGCGCACAAGGGAGCGAGGGGCCTGGGAGAAGGCTCGTGGATCCTGAAGGGTGCGGATATAGCGTGGGATGAGCACGCGAGGAAGCCATTAGCGTATCTAACGCGAGCAAGAGAAATAGTCCGCGAATTAGAATTTTTTCTTCCGTATCACGGTGCACCCTCTCTCAAAACGTAGAGCACGGTTAGGTTAACCACCTAACCATCCACACGGGTAAGTATAGCGACGTTCGAGATTAAGTTCACTACGCTTGACAACAGCGTCAAGCACGTTATATTTCACATGCAAACGAGAAGTTTAACTACACGCTGACAATGCCACTATCGTATCGCTCCATAGATAAAATATACTAGCGTTTCTTCGGTAAATCCTGGAACAGATACCCCTTCCCCCCCCCCCCGCCACCTCAATCAAAATGCTTCCGGTACCCCTGATAATATATCAAGTGCTTTTCCCACATGGTTGATTTCTAGAAAAACTTTGATTGGTTCAATCAACAGGAAGTTCGCAGTTTCTTAAGTATCTTTCCTGAAATGACTTACGAAGCGATTGCGACACCACATGCTGAATTTTTGAGAAACGTGCAACAACAGCAACACAAGATGAAGAATATTCTCGATGCAGGCGATGGCTATGGCAAAAGACACGAAGTTTTTAAAAGAAATTGTAACGAAGAAGAAGAAGTGCTCAAGATGTTACAAACCCACATTCCGACTCGAATCGAAAAATTGATTAATTCAAGCGCTGAGAAGCAATGCGAGTTGAAGATTCTTAGTGTCGGAGGGGGAGAAGGTGACGTGGATTTGAAATTTGTGCAAATCCTACTCCAGGAATTGGAGAAACACAGCACAGTTGATCGAAACACGACGATATATCTGCGAGTAGTTGAACCGAATTCGTCTTCGTGTAAACAATTCAGCGACACCGTAAAAGCTCGTGGAGATTTGCCAATCCACGTCGACATTCGAGAAGAAACGTTTGAAGAATACATTCAAAATGAGCAAAACGCAAACACCACATTTGACATAATACAATTTATTCACAGCATTTACTTTGTTCAAGAGGAAAAAGCGATTTCTTACTGCTTGGAAAAGCAATTGGGAGATCGGGGTTGTCTCTTTTTTGTGTATTCTGATGAGGCGATAATGACACAAGTGGCGCTTGAAATGTTACCAGAGAAACGACCTAACGGCAAGTTGGTGAACCTCGCCGAGAAAATAGGCCCCAAATTGATTGAAATCGTTGAAACATGGCAGGAAGTATGAGGATTCACACGAACATTCGTTTGATGTGTCTGAAATCTTCGTCGGATCAGAGAGTGGTGACCTGCTTCTTGACTTCATAACTCAAAAAGTCGACTTTCGCAAGAATGCTGATGCAAGTTTGGTTGATAGAGTTCTGGCAGTGATAAAAAACGAAAGCTTCACAAAAGATGGAAAACACCTTTGCATGAAAACTGAAACGCTGTTGGTCGTGAACAAATAGAATATCGGAATGATGATTTGCAATAGAAACAAAATATGACGAATGGATTGCACGTTATTATCTTGTTTTAACCTATATTTTGAAATTTAACTGAGATGTTAACGTTTAGATTATATTCTTCACGTTGTATGTTTGCACGGTGAAGAATCAGAGGTATGGGAGCCCACGGGCTGCTGCCATTGACGCGTAATGGCAATGCATCTTTAATATTTTTTGACTGGTTATTCGTCTTCAGTATAAAGACGGGCAACAGACGCATAATATACGTCGAGACAATTAATGTTCAGTTTTTCGTCTTAGAGACGCATAACCAACAGTAGTTGGTCGAGACGCATAATACGTCTGTTGCCCGTCTTTATACTGAAGAGAATAACCAACCAAAAAATATTGAAGACGCATTATGCGTCTCTAGTGTGAAAACGGCCATTTGTGTAACATGTATACTTTGCCACGAATATTGATAGTTTTCGCTTTCATTCTGAATTCTAATTCAGCCAAAAGCTTTGGGTACGAGGTTTTTAAAAGCTCCCGTCTGTAGCCAAAATACAGGGTGTATAAAATAACGTATAGAAACAATAATTAACTCAATTCATGCTTGAATATTTCTAATTTAATATAAATTCTTTTTATACATTACGTGTGCATGGAGTTGCATATGATTGTTATCAATTGTTTACGTCTGAGACTGGTTAAGCACCGTAAAAAATACTCGTTTCGCTGTCGCAGCGTCAATTGCATCATTTTAGGGACATGTCCCAGGGCTCGGAAGCTTTCCACCAATTGGATAATGCTTTTCTATGCTTTCTAAAGTACGAAGCTATGCTATTGGTTGAAACAGAAACGTATTGTAAAGTTCAGCCAATGAAATTCATTCTTGCGAGGAGCTGCAACACTACCCTCATTTTACGACAGACCGAAAAACAAGCAGAAATCAGTATTGCAACAAATCAATAATGAATATTCTCGACGCGGGCGAAGGCTATGCCAAAAGACACCACGTTTATAGAGTAAGTTCTAACCAAGATGAAGAAGTGCTGAAGATGTTACAAACTCGTTTGATTCCGATTCAAATCGAGAAATTGATGAATTCAAGCGTTGAGAAGCAATGCGAGTTGAAGATTCTTAGTGTTGGCAGCGGAATAGGTGCTGTGGATTTGAAATTTGTGGAAATTCTACTCGAGGAATTGAAGAAACACAGCTCTGATGATCAAAACACGACGATATATCTGCGAGTGGTTGAACCGAATTCATCTTCGTGCAAACAATTCAGCGACGCCGTAAAAGCTCGTGGAGATTTGCCAATCCACCTCGATATTCGTCAGCAAAAGTTTCAAGAATACATTCAAAATGAGCAAAACGCAAGCACAGCATTTGACATAATACATTTTATTCACAGCATTTACTTTGTTGTTGAGGAAAAAGCGATTTCTTACTGTTTGGAAAAGCAATTGAAAGATCAGGGTTGTCTCTTTTTCGTGTTTTCTGATGAGGTTATAATAAGGCAAGTGGCACTTAAAACAGCGCCAGAGCGGAGACGACCTAATGACAAGTTGGCAAACATCGCCGGAAAAATTGGCCCCAAATTGATTGAAATTGTTGAGAAAAGTGGCAGGAAGTATGAAGTATATTCAAATCAATATCCAGTTGATGTGTCAGAAATCTTCGTCGGATCAGAGAATGGTGACCTGCTTCTTGACTTCATAACTCAAAAAGTCGACTTTCGCAAGAGTGCCGATGCAAGTTTGGTTGATAGAGTTCTGGCAGTGATCAAAAACGCGAGCTTCGTGAAGGATGAAAAAAACTTTTGCATGCAAACTGACACTCTGATGATCGTGCACAAATAGAATATCGGAATAATGATGTGCAATAAAAACGAAATATGACGAACTTGCATGTTCTTATCTTGTTATATATAACCTTGTGTGTTTTGTATTTGTTAATAAATGTCGGTCGGCAGCAGTTTTTGTCTTTTGAAACACATAAAGGGTAAAGTCGTAGTCGTAGATCATAAAAAAACGTTGAATACATGTCATATATGTAATATTGTGGTCAAAATTGAAAACATTGGGATTTGAATCTTTTGCATGAGATATGCAAACACTGACATTTGTGTAACATGTATTTAGCCATAATACATTTTGTTCCCTGCTTCATACAATGGTTCTTAATTCTCATTGCGTTTTGAAGACGATATCTACCAATACCACCCACATTTACATTCAATGACTACACACTGGCTATCAATACTTCACAAAGTGTGCAATGCCAAATGTCACAATGTCACAGGTGAAGTCGTCGCTTGAATCGATCACTCTATAAATTCGTCAATTCGAAACTTCATGGTCAAGCTGGTTTGTAGCAACTCAAGAACTTCGATTTCTGAGTTACATTTACGCTTGTAAACCTGTGGCGTTTGGACTAGCCTTCACCGGCGTGAATAGAGAACTTTAGATTTGAGTACGGCTCCCGCTACGGCTACGAGATTCGTCACTGTGGCGCGAAACAAACGGTTGTATGCATACGCCACTTCATGCTGGCATGATAAACCTCTGCAAACACAGAGGTTTGTGTAGACGCAAGTTGTAAATTCAGCAAATTTTAAACACCTTCCCCCCGCCACCTCAAATAGAATACTTCCGGTACCCCTGATGATATATCAAGTGCTTTCCCACATGGCTGATTTCTCTGAAAAACTTTGATTGGTCAATCAACAGGAAGTTCGCAGTTTCCAAGTATTTTCCCTGAAATGAACTTACGAAGCGATGCGCGAACATATACTGAGAAACGTGCAACAACAGCAACACAAGATGAAGAATATTCTCGATGCGGGCGAAGGCTATGGCAAAAGACACGAAAATTTTAAAAGAAATTGTAACGAAAAGAAGAAGTGCTCAAGATGTTACAAACCACTTCCGACTCGAATCGAAAATTGATTAATTCAAACGCTGAGAAGCAATGCGAGTTGAAGATTCTAGTGTCGGAGGGGGAGAAGGTGACGTGGATTTGAAATTTGTGCAAATCCTACTCCAGGAATTGGAGAAACACAGCACAGTTGATCGAAAACGACGATATATCTGCGAGTGGTTGAACCGAATTCGTCTTCGTGTAAACAATTCAGCGACGCCGTAAAAGCTCGTGGAGATTTGCCAATCCACGTCGACATTCAAGAAGAAACGTTTGAAGAATATATTCAAAATGAGCAAAACGCAAACACACATTTGACATAATACAATTTATTCACAGCATTTACTTTGTTCAAGAGGAAAAAGCGATTTCTTACTGCTTGGAAAAGCAATTGGGAGATCGGGGTTGTCTCTTTTTTGTGTATTCTGATGAGGCGATAATGACACAAGTGGCGCTTGAAATGTTACCAGAGAAACGACCTAACGGCAAGTTGGTGAACCTCGCCGAGAAAATAGGCCCCAAATTGATTGAAATCGTTGAGAAACATGGCAGGAAGTATGAGGTACATTCACACGAACATTCGTTTGATGTGTCTGAAATCTTCGTCGGATCAGAGAGTGGTGACCTGCTTCTTGACTTCATAACTCAAAAAGTCGACTTTCGCAAGAATGCTGATGCAAGTTTGGTTGATAGAGTTCTGGCAGTGATAAAAAACGAAAGCTTCACAAAAGATGGAAAACACCTTTGCATGAAAACTGAAACGCTGTTGGTCGTGAACAAATAGAATATCGGAATGATGATTTCCAATAGAAACAAAATATGACGAATCGATTGCACGTTATTATCTTGTTTTAACCTATATTTTGAAATTTAACTGAGATGTTAACGTTTAGATTATATTCTTCACGTTGTATGTTTGCACGGTGAAGAATCAGAGGTATGGGAGCCCACGGGCTGCTGCCATTGACGCGTAATGGCAATGCATCTTTAATATTTTTGACTGGTTATTCGTCTTCAGTATAAAGACGGGCAACAGACGCATAATATACGTCGGAACGATTAATGTTCAGTTTTTCGTCTTAGAGACGCATAACCAACAGTAGTTGGTCGAGACGCATAATACGTCTGTTGCCCGTCTTTATACTGAAGAGAATAACCAACCAAAAAATATTGAAGACGCATTATGCGTCTCTAGTGTGAAAACGGCCATTTGTGTAAATGTATACTTTGCCACGAATATTGATAGTTTTCGCTTTCATTCTGAATTCTAATTCAGCCAAAAGCTTTGGGTACGAGGTTTTTAAAAGCTCCCGTCTGTAGCCAAAATACAGGGTGTATAAAATAACGTATAGAAACAATAATTAACTCAATTCATGCTTGAATATTTCTAATTTAATATAAATTCTTTTTATACATCACGTGTGCATGGAGTTGCATATGATTGTTATCAATTGTTTACGTCTGAGACAGGTTAAGTACCGTAAAAAATACTCGTTTCGCTGTCGCAGCGTCAATTGCATCATTTTAGGGACATGTCCCAGGGCTCGGAAGCTTTCCACCAATTGGATAATGCTTTTCTATGCTTTCTAAAGTACGAAGCTATGCTATTGGTTGAAACAGAAACGTATTGTAAAGTTCAGCCAATGAAATTCATTCTTGCGAGGAGCTGCAACACTACCCTCATTTTACGACAGACCGAAAAACAAGCAGAAATCAGTATTGCAACAAATCAATAATGAATATTCTCGACGCGGGCGAAGGCTATGCCAAAAGACACCACGTTTATAGAAGAAGTTCTAACCAAGACGAAGAAGTGCTTAAGATGTTACAAACTCGTTTGATTCCGATTCAAATCGAGAAATTGATGAATTCAAGCGTTGAGAAGCAATGCGAGTTGAAGATTCTTAGTGTTGGCAGCGGAATAGGTGCTGTGGATTTGAAATTTGTGTGAAATTCTACTCGAGGAATTGAAGAAACACAGCTCTGATGATCAAAACACGACGATATATCTGCGAGTGGTTGAACCGAATTCATCTTCGTGCAAACAATTCAGCGACGCCGTAAAAGCTCGTGGAGATTTGCCAATCCACCTCGATATTCGTCAGCAAAAGTTTCAAGAATACATTCAAAATGAGCAAAACGCAAGCACAGCATTTGACATAATACATTTTATTCACAGCGTTTACTTTGTTGTAGAGGAAAAAGCGATTTCTTACTGTTTGGAAAAGCAATTGAAAGATCAGGGTTGTCTCTTTTTCGTGTTTTCTGATGAGGTTATAATAAGGCAAGTGGCACTTAAAACAGCGCCAGAGCGGAGACGACCTAATGACAAGTTGGCAAACATCGCCGGAAAAATTGGCCCCAAATTGATTGAAATTGTTGAGAAAAGTGGCAGGAAGTATGAAGTATATTCAAATCAATATCCAGTTGATGTGTCAGAAATCTTCGTCGGATCAGAGAATGGTGACCTGCTTCTTGACTTCATAACTCAAAAAGTCGACTTTCGCAAGAGTGCCGATGCAAGTTTGGTTGATAGAGTTCTGGCAGTGATCAAAAACGCGAGCTTCGTGAAGGATGAAAAAAACTTTTGCATGCAAACTGACACTCTGATGATCGTGCACAAATAGAATATCGGAATAATGATGTGCAATAAAAACGAAATATGACGAACTTGCATGTTCTTATCTTGTTATATATAACCTTGTGTGTTTTGTATTTGTTAATAAATGTCGGTCGGCAGCAGTTTTTGTCTTTTGAAACACATAAAGGGTAAAGTCGTAGTCGTAGATCATAAAAAAACGTTGAATACATGTCATATATGTAATATTGTGGTCAAAATTGAAAACATTGGGATTTGAATCTTTTGCATGAGATATGCAAACACTGACATTTGTGTAACATGTATTTAGCCATAATACATTTTGTTCCCTGCTTCATACAATGGTTCTTAATTCTCATTGCGTTTTGAAGACGATATCTACCAATACCACCCACATTTACATTCAATGACTACACACTGGCTATCAATACTTCACAAAGTGTGCAATGCCAAATGTCACAATGTCACAGGTGAAGTCGTCGCTTGAATCGATCACTCTATAAATTCGTCAATTCGAAACTTCATGGTCAAGCTGGTTTGTAGCAACTCAAGAACTTCGATTTCTGAGTTACATTTACGCTTGTAAACCTGTGGCGTTTGGACTAGCCTTCACCGGCGTGAATAGAGAACTTTAGATTTGAGTACGGCTCCCGCTACGGCTACGAGATTCGTCACTGTGGCGCGAAACAAACGGTTGTATGCATACGCCACTTCATGCTGGCATGATAAACCTCTGCAAACACAGAGGTTTGTGTAGACGCAAGTTGTAAATTCAGCAAATTTTAAACACCTTCCCCCCGCCACCTCAAATAGAATACTTCCGGTACCCCTGATGATATATCAGTGCTTTTCCCACATGGCTGATTTCTTGAAAAACTTTGATTGGTCAATCAACAGGAAGTTCGCAGTTTCTCAAGGATCTTCCCTGAAATGACTTACGAAGCGATTGCAACACCACATACTGAGAAACGTGCAACAACAGCAACACAAGATGAAGAATATTCTCGATGCGGGCGAAGGCTATGGCAAAAGACACGAAATTTTTAAAAGAAATTGTAACGAAGAAGAAGAAGTGCTCAAGATGTTACAAACCCACATTCCGACTCGAATCGAAAAAGTGATTAATTCAAGCGTTGAGAAGGAATGCGAGTTGAAGATTCTTAGTGTCGGAGGGGGAGAAGGTGACGTGGATTTGAAATTTGTGCAAATCCTACTCCAGGAATTGGAGAAACACAGCACAGTTGATCGAAACACGACGATATATCTGCGAGTAGTTGAACCGAATTCGTCTTCGTGTAAACAATTCAGCGACGCCGTAAAAGCTCGTGGAGATTTGCCAATCCACGTCGACATTCAAGAAGAAACGTTTGAAGAATATATTCAAAATGAGCAAAACGCAAACACCACATTTGACATAATACAATTTATTCACAGCATTTACTTTGTTCAAGAGGAAAAAGCGATTTCTTACTGCTTGGAAAAGCAATTGGGAGATCGGGGTTGTCTCTTTTTTGTGTATTCTGATGAGGCGATAATGACACAAGTGGCGCTTGAAATGTTACCAGAGAAACGACCTAACGGCAAGTTGGTGAACCTCGCCGAGAAAATAGGCCCCAAATTGATTGAAATCGTTGAGAAACATGGCAGGAAGTATGAGGTACATTCACACGAACATTCGTTTGATGTGTCTGAAATCTTCGTCGGATCAGAGAGTGGTGACCTGCTTCTTGACTTCATAACTCAAAAAGTCGACTTTCGCAAGAATGCTGATGCAAGTTTGGTTGATAGAGTTCTGGCAGTGATAAAAAACGAAAGCTTCACAAAAGATGGAAAACACCTTTGCATGAAAACTGAAACGCTGTTGGTCGTGAACAAATAGAATATCGGAATGATGATTTCCAATAGAAACAAAATATGACGAATCGATTGCACGTTATTATCTTGTTTTAACCTATATTTTGAAATTTAACTGAGATGTTAACGTTTAGATTATATTCTTCACGTTGTATGTTTGCACGGTGAAGAATCAGAGGTATGGGAGCCCACGGGCTGCTGCCATTGACGCGTAATGGCAATGCATCTTTAATATTTTTTGACTGGTTATTCGTCTTCAGTATAAAGACGGGCAACAGACGCATAATATACGTCGGAACGATTAATGTTCAGTTTTTCGTCTTAGAGACGCATAACCAACAGTAGTTGGTCGAGACGCATAATACGTCTGTTGCCCGTCTTTATACTGAAGAGAATAACCAACCAAAAAATATTGAAGACGCATTATGCGTCTCTAGTGTGAAAACGGCCATTTGTGTAAATGTATACTTTGCCACGAATATTGATAGTTTCGCTTTCATTCTGAATTCTAATTCAGCCAAAAGCTTTGGGTACGAGGTTTTTAAAAGCTCCCGTCTGTAGCCAAAATACAGGGTGTATAAAATAACGTATAGAAACAATAATTAACTCAATTCATGCTTGAATATTTCTAATTTAATATAAATTCTTTTTATACATCACGTGTGCATGGAGTTGCATATGATTGTTATCAATTGTTTACGTCTGAGACAGGTTAAGTACCGTAAAAAACTCGTTTCGCTGTCGCAGCGTCAATTGCATCATTTTAGGGACATGTCCCAGGGCTCGGAAGCTTTCCACCAATTGGATAATGCTTTTCTATGCTTTCTAAAGTACGAAGCTATGCTATTGGTTGAAACAGAAACGTATTGTAAAGTTCAGCCAATGAAATTCATTCTTGCGAGGAGCTGCAACACTACCCTCATTTTACGACAGACCGAAAAACAAGCAGAAATCAGTATTGCAACAAATCAATAATGAATATTCTCGACGCGGGCGAAGGCTATGCCAAAAGACACCACGTTTATAGAAGAAGTTCTAACCAAGACGAAGAAGTGCTTAAGATGTTACAAACTCGTTTGATTCCGATTCAAATCGAGAAATTGATGAATTCAAGCGTTGAGAAGCAATGCGAGTTGAAGATTCTTAGTGTTGGCAGCGGAATAGGTGCTGTGGATTTGAAATTTGTGGAAATTCTACTCGAGGAATTGAAGAAACACAGCTCTGATGATCAAAACACGACGATATATCTGCGAGTGGTTGAACCGAATTCATCTTCGTGCAAACAATTCAGCGACGCCGTAAAAGCTCGTGGAGATTTGCCAATCCACCTCGATATTCGTCAGCAAAAGTTTCAAGAATACATTCAAAATGAGCAAAACGCAAGCACAGCATTTGACATAATACATTTTATTCACAGCGTTTACTTTGTTGTAGAGGAAAAAGCGATTTCTTACTGTTTGGAAAAGCAATTGAAAGATCAGGGTTGTCTCTTTTTCGTGTTTTCTGATGAGGTTA